GAATAATTTTATTTTATTTTTTTAATTTCATTTTGGTTTCAAATTTTTTTTTTTGAAGACGCCCCATAAACTCCAATCACACATATACATGTATGTGTTTGGATCACCAATCCCTCAATTACTATTACTTTCTCTCACTTTCCTTCATTTTCTAGCTGAATTTGTAGATTCGTGAATAGGAAACTTGTGTGTTTGATTGTTAGGGTTTTTGAGGTTTTTTTGGGGGGAATTTGTGTTGCAGATCCGTGAATTTTGAGGGGTTCTACAAATTGAGGGTAATGTAGACCAGGTATATGGAGAGGACGAACACTATGAGTAGAGGGAAGCAGAATTTGGAGGGTGGTGACAATGACCAACCGGAGCAAAAGCGATTGGCTTTAGCTGGGTAAATTTGAGATTTGTTCGGTCGGTTGTGTTGATTTGGTGTTGTTTAGTTGTGTTTTCTTTGTTAATTTTTGCTAATTGATTAGTTGGGTAGTGAAAACTATAGTTGTTTTACATGTATGGTAATTATGTTAATACTTGATTGTATTGCCTTGATGGAATGCAATTATTATGATTTTGTGATATGCTTAATGATGTTGACTGCCTTTCTCTAATTGCAATCTTGAATTGAATTTTTTATAGCTTTCTTGTAATTATTGGTAGGGAGAATAGAAGAGTTTCAAACAGTTTGAGAGAGGTGGTCAATGGTGGGATGAGAGGTGAGTTCCTCCTAGCATGTAATAATGAGGAGGAGAATGGGAGAAACGCTTATTTACACCGTGCCTTTAGGCACATGCATACACTAGTGTGTTGATAAGGAAAGACTAATTACCAAAATTTAAAAATAAAAAAAAATATAAAAAAAAATTATCTAACAACTCCAAATGCTGCCACTTGAACATGGATTTCATTTTAATAGAGTACCTTCATCACAATTTATATAAAAAACAATTAGTATAACAATCTTGAAAGAAAGAAAGAACGTAAAGAAAAAAAATAAGAAAAATGTATAACAATCTTGAAAGAAAGAAAGAACGTAAAGAAAAAAAATAAGAAAAATAAGAAGAAGAAGAAGAAGAATACCTTCACTACAATTTATAAAAAAACACAATTAGCATAAAAATTTTGAAAAAGAAAAATGAACAGTGACTGATCCTGTAAACATAGGCAAAGGGAAGAGTTAGGGTTAAATTTACCAACAAAAAAAAAAGCATAGTGGAAGACTCGTAAAAAGATAATAGAATAGTTACAACATGTGATAAAAGAGAATAAGAAAGTATGTGATTGAAGATGTTGAGAGATTATGCATAAATGGAAGTTTCAAAATTTGAAACTAAAATGAAGTATGATGTAGACGAAGAAAATATGAGAGAGTTAGGCCTAAATTTTAGGTAGTGAAGTAGGCATATTAGACCACTGAGGGTGGTGGCCCAGTGGTGAAGGCATTGCCTTCCCACAGCCATGAGTCAAGTTCGACTCCTGGGAGGCGCGAAATCCTGGATTTTTCAGGAGCTATCTTCGGAGACCTCGCGCTGTACTCTGATCGAAACTTATCCGTGGCTGAAGCGGTTAATGAGCTCCACTGGTGCCTCGGTGGTTGGTCCCTTCCTATGGGTTGGGTTAAATCAGGCTGGCAACTGGTTACCCCGGGGCCTGCGCCTACGGATGTCGTGATGACACCTCAGAACATCCTTTTTTTTGTTAAAAAAAAAAAAAAAAAAAAGTAGGCATATTGGGACTGAATTTTCTTTATATGGAATCAATATTTAATTATATTAGATGAATATAAATATAAGATGGAGATAAATAATCCAATTTAAATCTAAAGATAGAAATTAGATAAATACGCTAGAAAAAAAGAAAAAAATAAATAAAATTAAGAATAGAAGAATCAAATTCAAATCTAAAGATAAAAATAAGATAAACATGAAAAAAATAAAAAACAATAAAATGAAAAATAGATGAAATGACGAGGGGAGTGGGTTGGACCGTGAACAAAAGAAAATGTCACGGAATCTTTTAAAATTTTAAAAATTATAGAAAATTAGAAATAGAGTTATCCGTTGAGTGAATTGTGGTGACGGATATATAAATGAGTGGATTGATATAACAATTACATTTGATTATATATATAGTATAGATGGATAAATAGATTATATATTACATTTTGTTTATTTTTTCATTTATTATAATTAAATTAGTTGAATAGATTTCACTATTTATAATTGTTATAAATACAGCAAGTAATGACATATCATATGATTGTTTTCTTTTGGGGATAACTTCTTTTCATATCATTATCCTCAATACTTTATTTTATGGGCACCATTCTCGATTTACAATGGTGATTTAAATGGTTAATCTCATAACTTTTTGTCTATATAAAAAATTAAATTTATTGGATATTAATTAATACATTAATAAATTATATTTTATTTTATAAAATAGACAGTTTAAGATTAAACTTTCGCCTTGTTTGAGAGTAGACTATTTTAGTAATTTTTTGACTTTTTTACTAAAATATGAGGTAAAAAAATTATATGTTTGGAATGACTTTTGATTTTTACGAAAATATGTACAAAAAATAAAGAGAAAATGGAATCTTTGACTTTTTTTGTATAGGTTATAGACTTTTCAATTTTTTTTCATAATTTTTTGACTTTTAAGCTAAAACTCATACATGTCAAACGAAACCTTATAGTTATTATCTATTTAAAAATATAACTTATTCATGTGTAATGATGTCTGAAGAAATTAATTTTTTATACAATTTATATATATATTAATAAATTTATAAAATAAATAATTTGAATTACCATGGTGAGCTCGGAACAACTAATTGAATTATAATGTGAAGGGGGAGTTATTCTCTTCTTCAATCGCAACCACTAATTGAAGAAATTCAAAAATTCCACAAGTCGTCTTGCACGTGCCACAACACATTAGCCAGTAATGTTTGGGTTATAAATGGTGACCTCTAAATGCTTTAATACATCTGTTCAAAAAAAAATTAATAATAATAGTAAATACTTTAATACATTAATAAATCATATTTTATTTTATAAAATAGACGATTTAAGTTAAAATTTATAGTTATTATTTAGGGTGAATTACACTAACAGTCTCTATAGTTTGAGTTTCGTGTCACTTTGGTCCCTAACTTTTTAATTGTGACACATTTAATCATGAATTTTGAATCTTGTTTCAAATAAGAACAATTGAAGATACCCATTGCTTAATTTCAAGGGCAACATCGTCAATTTCATAAAATATACACTAATTTGACAAAATATATGTCAAAAAAATATTTTTAAAATTTTAAAATTATTTATACCCGTCAAAGATAAAATTATGTAAAATTGATAAATCTTTTAGACATATTTTTTTTTTACCAAATTAATTTTTATTATGTATTTTGATGATAATCGTATAATGGCTCATTAAATTAGTTTTTATTTTTCCAAAGTCAAATATAGCGACAACTTTGATATCATTATTAAACCAATCCCTTAAATCATGAAATCTAAAAAAAAAGAACATTTCATATATTAAATACATCGATTGCACTCTAAAATCTTAACAACGACTTATTACATGATCATCATCCAAACATATAATAAAAATTAATTTGATAAAAAAAATAAATAAATGTCTAAAAGATTTAACAATTTTACATAATTTTATCTTGACAGATAAAAATAATTTTTAAAAATTAAAAAATATTTTTTTGACATTTATTTTGTCAAATTAGTGTATATTTTATCAAATGGACAATTTTGCCCTTGAAATTAAGCAATGGTATCTTCAATTGTCCTTATTTGGAACAAGATTCAAAATTCAAGATCAAATGTGTCACAATTGAAAAGTCAGGGACTAAAAAGACACGAACCTCAAATTATAGGGACTGTTAGTGTAATTCGCACTATTATTTATTTTAAAATATAACTTATTCATGTGTAATAGTGTCTAATAAAATTAATTTTTTATATAATTTATATATATTACTAAATTTACAAAATAAATCATTTGAATTATAATGGTGAGATCGGAACAACTAATTGAATAATAATGTGAAGGGGAGTCATTCTCTTTCTTCAATTAAATCGCAACCACTAATTGAAGAAATTCAAATGTAGAGACTAGACCCAAAAATTCCACAAGTCGTCTTGCACGTGCCAGAGCACATTAGCCAGTAATGTTTGGGTTACAAATGGTGACCTCGAAATGCTTTAATACATCTGTTCAAAAAATAATAATAATAATAAATGCTTTAATACATTAATAAATCATATTTTATTTTAGAAAATAGACGATTTAAGTTTAAATTTATAGTTATTATTTATTTTCAAAAATAACTTATTCATGTGTAATGGTGTCTAAAGAAATTAATTTTTTATATAATTTATATATATTACTAAATTTATAAAATAAATAATTTAAATTATCATGGTTAGGTCGGAACAACTAATTGAATAACAATGTGAAGGGGAATTATTCTCCTCTTCCATTGCAACCACTAATTGAAGAAATTCAAATGTAAAGGCTAGACCAAAAATTCCACAAGTCGTCTTGCACGCGCCAGAACACATTAGCCAGTAATGTTTGGGTTATAAATGGTGACCTCTAAATGCTTTAATACATCTGTTAAAAAAATAATAATAATAAATTTATAAAATAGACGGTTTAAGTTTAAATTTATAGTTATTATTTATTTTAAAATATAACTTATTCATGTGTAATAGTGTCTAATGAAATTAATTTTTTATATAATTTATATATATTACTAACTTTATAAAATAAATAATTTGAATTATAACGGTGAGATCGGAACAACTAATTGAATAATAATGTGAAGGGGAGTCATTCTCTTTCTTCAATTAAATCGCAACCACTAATTGAAGAAATTCAAATGTAAAGACTAGACCCAAAAATTACACAAGTCATCTTGCACGTGCCAGAACACATTAGCCAGTAATGTTTGGGTTATAAATGGTGAGCTCTAAATGCCTTCCTCGCAATGCTCAAAAATGGCTTTAGAAAAGCTTTTTGTTGTTTGGAAGATCCTCTTGATAGTTATCCTTCTCTTGGCTTTTCAGATTGCTGCAAGGCAAACACCGGGGGTCCGCAGAGTTCTCTTTAGGCCACGTAAGTTTGCGTTGCTTGATTATGAGTATTTTAAATTTTAAATTTTAAATTGTACGCATGCATGAATATAATAAAATAAAAAGATTTTCGAAAATACCTTAGAAATACAATTGGTTAGAATAGCTAAAATTAATTTTGAGTTTGATCCAATGATATAAATGGTTTATTGAACTCACAAAATCTTATCGAAAAGTACCAATTTCAACTAGGAGAAATTATTGGAAAATCTCATTTGAGAGGGTTTTGGACCGTGAGATCCTTCTTTATTTTTAATACTAAGTCCCATTTTGTTGGTAATGTTACCCGAAAGATCCCATTTGGCTGATTTGGGGTGGATTATGTGACTGTTTTGCCCTTGGTTCTGTGTGGTAACTTATTTGTTTGGTATGGCAATGCCATTGATTAAGGTTCTGTTTTGAGAAAGATGATTTGTGGGGGGCAGGCTTCTGTGTCTATTTGAAGGATGTGTGTGTGTTGTAATGTTCAAACACAACCACATTACACCGTCCCCACCATACAGAAAAAAAAGTTCAAACACAATTACACACACTTCCAAACCCATCCCAATCTCCAACATCACACACCCCCCCTCCCCATTCACCACACCCCACACCATCACCTATTACCCCATCACAGCACCCTACACATACCACAAACCACTCACCCATTACCCCAACCCATTACAACCAATACAACCATGCACCGTCCCTCCTACATACCACACACGGCACATCACTCCCTATCCCACCAGATTCAATCCTACATACCACACACCACCCCCCAACCACACAGTAATACCCCTACCAAGAACAACATTAACTACGCCAAACCCCTCCCACCCTTGACCAACATCATGTACATCCCACCTAAATGCAAAACATGGATACAGTAATAACAAACCCACCAAACCACATTTCAAAAACACGACACCAAACACAAAAAACACAGATACATATAACCACCGTTCCTCGGCATCGTCATCAGATTTAGGGTGTTCACACCTTCACACAGCAACACTAGCAGAACTATTTCCTTTCTAATCACCGTGTGTTACAAAACCGCTCACATTACCATTCACCGCCAACTGAATCCCTTCAAATCCGAAAACAAATCGTAAACAAATCTACAAATGTGGGTCGACTATGTGGTTGCCATACCAATACTCACATATGGGATTTTAGACCAAATCAACTATGATATATTTTCTGCAAAACCCTAAAATTATCATAGTTCGATTCGGAATGAAATTTACTGTTGAATTTTGTGTTTTCCACGACTAGACTGAATGTTTGACAACGGACCCGCGATGGGGAGGTGTGGGGGGTTGTTGCTTGGCTTTGTTGTGGAATGTGTTCACTGGTCAGCCGACGATGGGAAGACCTTTTCATCATCGCTCATGACCAATTCTGGTGTGTTTTGCTAGTCTGTATGTTTGATTAGCAATGTGGGCTTCACCCGAAATCGATGTGGATCTGAAGGGTTTTAAATTGGATATGTGTTGGGCCCAACATACGATGAGGGGTGATGTGGGCAGGCCAAAACTAATGTACCAACCAATAAAGGACTATAGTGCATTTTTCCAAACGTGGCAAGCCCACAACATATGCAATCTTCATAGGTCAAATTAAAAAATTATACCTTATGGGCAAAAATGTAAATCAAATCATATTGGTCTTCTAGGAGTATTACAAAACATTTGGGACTAGAAGGTTAACAAATTAGCCAAATGGAATTTATAGGTCAATTCCCCTTTCAACTACTTCCAAATCTCGCTAAACCCAAATCTCTATCGCATTTGTTTTAGAATAACTTTTCAAACCTGATCCTAAAATCTTTGAGTTATACTCAATTTTTATTGGATCATATTTCATCTATTGAAAGAGGAAAAAAAAAATTAAGTGTTAGCTTTTTTAAATAAAAAGTTACAAAATATAATAACAAATAACCAACCAGATAAATATTAAAATTTAAAATTCAAAACTATTTAAACTATCCCATGATTTATTGTTTTTAAAACGTGAGTATTACTATTTTTCTGTGTTGTCATTTATTATCTATACCTATAAAATTAGAAAATTCAATATCTATTTTTTCTATTTGTAGCTAATTTTTTTTTTTATTTGAAAACAATTTCTATCTATTAAACGCAATTATTCTTTTTCATTGTTTGTAATCAAGAAACGTAAAACTCTCATTCTGTCTATTGGTGCTTTCCAAACACATGCAATATTGATGTATAAATCCATCGCCCTCTAACTTCTAGCCATCATCAGTATTAACGTTACTGTTAGTTATGGAATACGCAAACTTAATGTAAAGTTTCCATTGAGTTGCTTTATTGAATCCAATTAAGGATACACCACCAGTCTTAATGTGCATGTTTGGATTTTGTAAATTTTTTATTAGTTTTATTTTATTATTATTATTTTCTTTTTGTTAGCATTGGTTTTATTTTATGTTGAAGATTCTTAATCTTTTACATATTTATGTATATGTATATTGAGTTTTTGTTATTTTTAACAAAAATAGAAAGTACATGAATCAGTAGATAAGAGAGAGATTAAAAATGAAATAATGGTGGATGGGAAAAATGAACCTGAACGAGATGAGCTCTTTTGGTTTTAGTAGATTTTTTTGACAATTTTTTATTTATTTATTTTCTTTTATTTTTTTAAATAAAAATTATATATTTCATAATTTTTTTGAATGACAATCCATGGCACCCTATGAAATGGATAGCTAGTACCCAATTTTTAAAAGGGCACATAGAATAAGAGAGTTGTGTTTTCCCCTTAGCTTCTACCATTGAAATGATGAGCTACCTTGGTGTGAATATAATACTGAAAAATCTAAAATACTTAAGATGTTGATTTGTAATTATGTTTCAATTTTAAATAGTGAATATCAATTCTAATCAAATAATCAGTAACAAATCGACAAACCAATTTAATATGAAAAAAATCACAATTGGAGCGCCTCCAATTGTGATAAAAAAATCACTGGCCAAAATTACAAAACAATCCACTACGATGACAAAAATGAATTACACAAGCGTACCCTCAATTGTGAATTTTGGAGCTTGTGTTACTTTGGTCCCTGACTTTTCAATTGTGACACATTTGACCCTGAATTTTGAATCTTGTTCCAAATAAGAACAATTGAATATACTATTAATCAATTTCAAGGGTAAAGTTGTCAATTTGATAAAATATAAACTAATTTGACAAAAATAAATGTCAAAAAATATTTTAAAATTTTTAAAAATTGTTTCTACCCACCAATGATAAAATTATATAAAATTGATAAATCTTTCACACATTTATTTTTTTTTAACAAATTAATTTCTATTATATGCTTGAATGATAATCATATAATGGGTGGTTGTTTTTCTTTCATTAAATTGGTTTCTATTTTTTCAAAAATCAAATATGGCTACAACTTTGATATCATTATTAAACTAATTCATTAAATCAAAAAATTCAAAACTAAAAACATTTCATATATTAAATATATCGATTACATATTAAAAGCCTAGCAACTACCCATTACATGATCATCATCCAAACACATAATGAAAATTAATTTGGTAAAAAAAATAAATAAATGTGTAAAAGATTTATCAATTTTACATAATTTTATCTTTGGTGGGTAGAAATAATTTTTAAAAAATCAAAAATATTTTTTTGACATTTATTTTTGTCAAATTAGTTTATATTTTATCAAAATGACGAATTTGCCCTTGAAATTGAGCAATGGTATCTTCAATTGTCCTTATTTGGAATAAGAAAGTGACACAAGCCCCAAATTATAAGAACTGTTAGTGTAATTCACCCATTTAAATATGTATATGTGTTCTGTGTTTTTATGTCACTCAAATGCTGTATTAATTTGCATAAATTTGTTGATGTTTCGGTTACTTTTTTTCCACCGTTGTGGTGGTGTTGATGTTGCTGCCGTTTGGTTTAATGTTTATGGATCTTGTGATGCCTTGAATTATTTTTGTTGTTGTGGTTGTTGTTGTTCAACAAATAAAACAACATATCAGACCTATTTCAACAGATAAAAAAATGAATTGTTATTTTAATAAATAAAAAAATTGAATAGATAGTAGAAAAAATAAAAATTTAAATAGATAAAAAAATTGAACAGATAGGAAAATATTTGAATAGATAGTCAAAAAATTAAACAGATAAAAAAATATTCGAACAGCTAGTCACAAAAAATTAAACAGATAAAATATTTGAACAGATAATTAAAAAAATTAAACAAAAAAAAATCAACAGATAGATTAAGGATAAAAATAGAAACAAAATTCTTCCAAAATAATAAAATGTAATTATCACCACAATATTTTACAAAGAGTATACTTCTCACCCAAAAAAAAAATATTCATGGGACCTAATACTTTATACTCTCCTTAGATGGGACTTTTCAAAAAAAAATTCTTCTTTTTAGTTTTTTGGATTTATTTAATCTAAATACAAATAAAAAGTATAAAATTTAAGAAAAATATTTTAAAAATTCATTAAATACTAAAAAATTTAAAAAATTCAATATATTTTTATATTTGTTTGTATTTATTGAATGTTTTAAGATTTCTTCACAAAGATTTTATTTTAAGATTTCTCCACAATATATTTTTTAAATACATCTAGATTAGGGATGACCATTGGTTCAATGGTAAAATCTTAACTTAATAATGTTGTGGTTATTGATTCGAGTCTCAGAACAACTACTTTGTGCATTATGCCAAATGTTAAGCGTGTATCTAATCTTTTCCCTCCTAGACACGCATTAATGTGTACTATTTTGGTGTTGATTTTAATTTTTTTATTTTTATCTGGATTAGATGCATTTAAAAAAATGACAACAATATTTAAAAATTTTACTAAAAATAAAAAAACAAAATTTATTAGGAAATCCTCTTTCGGATACCTATGTAACATATTATTGTATTCCAATCAATTCTATTATTTGGACATTTGATCCACCAAATCCTA